TGGCCAGGGATCAATGCGGATATTGAGAAGTCAGTTCGGCTATGCCGTGAATGCAAGAGGTTCGATCCTTTCCACCTGTGGCGCACCACTCAATCCATGGAAGTGGATTTTGCCGGCCCCTTCCAGGGAAAGTACATTCTGGTGTCGATAGACGCTCATTCTAAATAGATAGAAGCGGTCGCGACTTCGTCCAGCACGGCATTGAGGAGCTTCGTACACTCTTCGCGCGAAGTTTGGCATTCCTGAGTCTCTGGTTACCGATAACGGTATATACGTGTTTCGTGAGTGAGGAGTTCAAAAGCTTTCTCAAGAGTAATGGTATTAAGCATACAACTTCTGCACCTTACCGAAAAATGGGCTTGCAGAGCGCACCGTTCAAATCATAAAGAGAGGCCTCAAGAAAGTGACTGAAGGTTCTATGAACTCTCGACTGGCTAGTTCTTTTCTCCTACAGAATTACCGGCACCACAAGGTACAACAGGTATCGCACCTGCAGTTGTTGCTTGGTAGAAGTCCACGGACACGGTTGGACTTGCTGCGCCCTAACACAGCAAGTAGGGTGGAGGAAAGCAGCGACTGCAAAAGAAGAAGCATGACTCGAAAGCCAAAGTCGGTATGTTTTGCGAGGGAGAGACAGTGCTGGTAAAATTAATTTTGGTAGTGGTCGCAGATGGTTACCCGGGAGGATTATTGAGTTGTCGGGACCAGTCTCATTCTGAGTACGTCTGGAGGACAGCATGCTGAGAAGATGCCACCAGGACCATCTTCGTAAACGTCTGGTGGAAGATGATTCAGAGAAGGTCTCAGCTCACTCCTGAAGTTGATGTCCCAACTCCTGCTACTGACTCAGGGACAACTGACGAAGTTATTGAGGCTCCAACAGTGCCTCTGCAGGTATATACGAGCCTCCTCCACAACCATCTGCTACCACAGAAACTTCTACATCAACGTCCGTGTCCGAACCGCACGAATCACACGAACATCGATATCCACGTCGTCATCGAAAGCAACGACGTTTCGAACCAGGAACCTGACATTACGAACTGTGAGAACTAATTGTGTGTATGCATGTGTTTTGAAAGTGTTTTTTATAATTATTGTGCTGTATTGGTTGTATTGCTGTATTGCATGCATCGTTGGTTTTTGTATTAGTGTAGCTCTCTCTTAAGAAGAGAGGAATGTAGTATCGTGACTAGTCAATAATGTGCATTGTGACCGTCACCTCACCTCATCATGTTACATCATTTCCGTATCCGTCTCATGCTCTATATAAGTATAGCGTTACTGTGTGTGTGTATTGGTCTGCTGTCACTATTACTATGTCGTACTAAGCGCTATACCTACGAACGTGTCATGACACTAAACTAACTGTGACCACCATGCAATGGTGCACCATAAAGCAAACCAGATGATGTGATATGGTGTCCATTCGTGAGACCAGTCAGAAGGTCAGCTGTTCAGAGTCAAGTGTTACATCTCCAGATATTGGGATGTTCCCTACAGTGAAATGCTAGCCAATTTGTAAAAGGCTACTCTATAGCTCCAATCAGACAGCAGCCATAAGGGAGATGATCCTAATTGGATCCTTCTGACTGGGGTTTGGGGGGGTTAAACATGCTGTGATACTGTGCAACTTTCACTGTGTTATGATGCGTGGCTATTACATACATACCCCATTACCCCAACCTAGGATCCTCAATGTAGCCCATAGTATTAGGTGCTCTCTCTATACTATAGTGTATTCACGTTGAGAATGCATTTTGATTATCTTGAATAACTTCATTACCCTTTCCTCTATTGCACAGTTCTTGATGCCATTTTGTAGCTCTTAAAGATGGTTTGGTACAAATCCAATTGCATAGTTTTTGTGTGACATTAGAAAAACCCTCATTTTCAATGTATGGCAAAGTGCATTCTCAACCTGAACATACTATAGGACCCAGTGACAGTGACTCAGGTGGTGTGTTCAAGGAACATGGAGCAACCACTCATTGTCGCTACAGTGGAGGGGTGGGTAAGGTGTATACTTTACAGCCCACTGTTTGCTCTTTATATGTGTGGTGCTACCAGTGTTGTGATCTTTCCCGACTCTGACTAAGTTTTCAAATCTGATCAATCTCCATGTGGATACACTATTAATGAAAATTATAGATGTTGTAATGAGTTAGAAGAGTCTACATAGAGCCTGGAAGCTACGAAATATCCACATTAGAACAAAGTTTTTGGATGACTGGTCCTCTTGGTCCCTCTCCTGCTAAAGTGTTAGTGATGGATGACAGATGATGTCCATTGGCATCGAACATCTGAACTCTGTTATTGAAAAAGTCAGCTACTAATACATTTCCTCTTCTGATGACAGATATTCCCTCGGGCTGGTTCCAAAGCTGCCATGGAATGTCAAGTCGTTGTTGAGGATTGTGATGCGATGGTTGCAAGTGTCACAGACATACACTCTGTTGTTGGTGCCTATGGCCAATGGTGTACTGAACTTCAGTTGTCCACTGCCTTTTGAACCCCCTGTTGCTATGAACTGACCCTCAAGAGTGAATTTATTCACACGATTCGCGCCAACTACAAACACTGTGTTATCAAGAGATATGGCTACTCCTCTTGGTTGAATAACTATGTTTTGTACTCTGTTTGCAAATGATCGCAACAGCCTGTGATCCCTGTCAAAGACTTTCACACAGCTAGCATTTTGCTCACAGACAACGGTTTCCCCAGTTTTGGCAAAAGCAACATGACATGGACCATTTACTCCACGTATGGTCTTGACATGAGTAACTTAGACCGCATCAAACTTCACTTCTCCTAATGTCTGACATGCTGAGCTCAAGTCTGCACACACCACACTAATCTTTTTCTCTGGACCCAACACCAGTTGCTGAGGTTTGAACTTTTCTGCCATCACCCGTGCCCTCTCCTCCACTTGTCTCTTCATCGACAGCACCTCCTCTTGTGTGCCACTCTGCAGACTCCCCTCCACAAACTCCACGCAGCTGCTCAGCTGGGCCTGCCTCAACTCGTGTCCGTCAATCCGGGCCGCCAGCTCCTTCTTCCCCTGACACACCTCACCATCTATCTGGGAGTGAAGCTCCCTCCTGCGAGCCTCTAGGACGGCCCGGAGCTTGTCTACTTCAACATCCACCTTTTCCTTCGCCTCTATACCCTGTCCATCTAGCCTGCTGGACCTTGCCTTCAGCTGTGCAATGGTGCTCCCTACACTAGCAAGTTCAGATTTGACGGGACCTAGGCAGGCAAGGATGGCATCATTGTGTTTGGGGAAGGTGTCTGAGACGAGGTCATAGTTGTGGTCGCGATGGGTCTTGACGGTGCAGTCGCGACATATCAGCTCATCGCACGTCTCGCAGTAGATCTTGATGGGCTCTGTTGCATGCTTGGGACACATGGAGCTCACCTTTTTGGGGGTCACCGTTTTCGAGGCTGTTTCTTTAACTTGGTCGAGGGTGGATATTTCGTGCCCCTGCAATTCCTTCCATTTACGATGCGTAATGAGGCAGTGCTGGCAAATTAACTGGTCGCAGTCTCGACAGAAACCCTGCACCTCTCCCTCCCCACACCTGTCACACTGTGCCTTCTCCGGGTCCCGCACCTTCTCCAAGACCTCCCTCACCTCGAAAAGGTGCTGGATGTAGAAGGCGGAGGGCAGGCTGGACACGCCCCCTTGTGGGAGAGGGGCAGGCTTGCGGCAGTTGGGGCACAGGGTGCTGAGTTTGTCTCTCTGTGTCCCCACCAGTTTCTCCAGACAGGCCTCACAGAAGACGTGCAGACCGGGCAGTACTCTGGGTCTGCAGTACTCCTCCAGACACACCGAACACGACAGCTGGTTCGATAGCTTCTCTAGCGCTTGCTGAACTGGATTTCCAGGCTTTTCGGTTGTTGCTTGTGGTTTTTCAGCCATTACTACTGAAAGCACAGTGATATCTGCAGAGAACACGACAGCTGGTTCGACAACAGAAACCAACACCTCACTACCCTAGGCTATGCAGGTGTTCAAGGCAGTGGACACACAAGTGGCACACTTGATGACAGAAGTATATGACTCAAATTTTCCCCTTCTCCACTGCACCCTTCCCCCCTCCCCCACCATCATCAGGAAAAAGGGAACCATGGTCCAAGCAACAAACCAATAGCTTAAGCTAAGCATGGGGTTTGAGTCGTGGTTGTTTAGTGTACTAAGAAACATGAGAAGGCAAGTATGTATTTTTCTCCCGAGAACTAGTCTGGTAGAGCTACACCCAACTAGCATGAAGCAGAAGGGTCTCTTGGGTGTGGCTCCACCAGAGTACCTTAGAACCAGCATGGAGTTTCTACAATCATAACCTGGTTACTTTACCAGAAAGCTACTTAACACCGCCATAATGTACTTCCTTCCAGAGTGTGGGGAGGGTATAGAGTGGTGCAATCTGCGGCAGACCACCATTGACAACATGACCCAGTACCTGGCCCGCAAGGAGGAGAGGATGCGCCACCAGAGAGAATCGGCCAATAAGCTCCCCACCTCCAACACCAGAGCTGACGAGAAATCTCCACAGCCTCCTCCCGAGAAAAAGATGAAAACTCAAACTGTGACATTATGATGTGTGTTGATCATGTGCATCTCTACATGAATTTTGTGTCAATCATGTGAGACGTCATATTGACTTGCAGCATGAAACTTGAGGGGGAACTCTTTCACTGTTTACACGTGTTCGGTGCGTCATTTTGTTCTGGGGTGTGGGTTGAAGAAAGACCAAATATGTATAAAGCAACCCACAAGAGTTTACTCTCTCGATTTGTGTTTACTAGCAAATCAACATAATTAAACGCCAACAATGGCGAACCCTGAGCCCAATCTTCGTATTAACAATAAGACTAGGTTTTGGTATGTCTCCATCTGGTGTCCCTTTGTGTAGCTACCGTTCCCCTTATAAAATCTTTGCAATTTCAGTTCATTGCGGAGTTTACTTTTAACTAGTCAACCATTGCAAATGAGGAGGATCACTTCTCTGCTAATTCAGTACTACACATCCATCACATTACTATAAACTGATGTATGCACAATAATATTTCATGCATGTCTGCAGTAGTCAGATACTGAACAGTAATGTAGGGACACATCACACAGACTCATAGAGAGAGTCTCCAGCAGCAGCAGTGGTAGGCTGGGAGGAGGTGGAGGGAGGGAGAGCTTGTGTTACTTCATATTCACCTTCAGCTGTCCTTCCAGTCCCTCTCACTACACCGTAGGCCTCATTACTGGAGGTCTGGAACTGCTCTGGGCCCCTGATGGAACAAGGCACAGTTGACAGTAGAAAGAAATAAAGTTCAATGATAGAAATTCAATTTGTGGCACTTAACCTACAAATATTTCTTTCCTGAAAATGTGGGCATTTCTACGCCAGTGTTCGTGGAGGCTGCATAAAAGAAAAAAGTGTTGACTGCTTTTGATGGTGGTCCATAGTCATGTTACCCTTAGTTGATTGGTCAATTGCGCGTGACTGCGGTCTAACTTTAGCTCTTTGGAGTCTCCTGATGAAAAAGACTATCACCACAGCCTGCACTACTATAGCAGTCACAATCACCACTCCCAACACACCACCAAGAGCAGCCACCGATGCTGATGAATCACTCTTGCTGATGTCTGATGTAGATGTAGGGAGAGAATGAAGTGTGTGAATTTTAATTACGGTATAGCTACACAGTAGAACCTCCAATAAGAACACTGAATAATTGGACTCAATATGAAATCCTCTCAGTAAAGAGCACACTTTGAGGTCGTAAGCAATCATTATTCTTAGCCATTAAAAAAGAGGACAACCTCCCTATAAACGGCATAATGCCTGGTTCCATATTCGGAGGTTCCACTTGTAAAACATAATTATGTAGAGAAAGGGAAGGTGGAATATGTACAATACCTTCAGCTGTAGAGTGAGTAAATGTGGTGGAAGAGTTCCCAGCAGGGTTGAAGACTGTTACAGTGATGTGATAGCTAGTTCCACTCCTCAGACGTCCAATTGTGTAACTGTTTTGGTCTTTTGGGAGTCGTCCACTAGTCCCTCCCTCAGCATTGCTGGCTCGCCTTCTTCTCATCTGCCCCGTTAGTTCCCAGCTCACCTCAGAGCCAGTAGCATCGGGAGGAAAGCTCCAGGAGGTAGTGATGGTAGTGGGTGACGTCTCAATGTTGTCCATGTCCACAGTTGGTTTCTCTGGAACACCCACTGATGAATGGAGAATGAGTCATTAACAGAACATATTCAACAGTGTGTGGCTCTGACCTAGTGTGACTTGAGCTTCAATGGGATAACTTGTTGGTCTATTTGGAGCCATTGTTACAATGGATATGGTGTATGTCTGTCCATTGGTGAGACCAGTCAGAGTGTAGCTGTTGGTAGAGACAACATCAATATCCACATCACTGCCTGTGGTGTAGGAGATCCTGTAGCCAGGTGGTGGAGGAGTTCCCAGCAGGGTTGAAGACTGTTACAGCGATGTCATAGCTAGTTCCACTCCTCAGACGTCCAATTGTGTAGCTGTTCTGGTCGTTTGAGAGTCGTCCACTAGTCCCTCCCTCAGCATTGCTGACTCGTCTTCTTCTCATATGCCCTGTTAGTTCCCAGCTCACCTCAGAGCCAGTGGCATCGGGAGGAAAGCTCCAGGAGGTAGTGATGGTAGTGGGTGAGGTCTCAATGTTGTCCATATCCACTGTTGGTTTCTCTGGAACACCCACTGATGAATGGAGAATGAGTCATTGACAACATATTCAGCAGTGTTTTGTTCTAACCTAGTGAGACTTGCGCTTCAATGGGAGAACTTGTTGGTCTATTTGGAGCTATTGCTACAATGGATATGGTGTATGTCTGTCCATTGGTGAGACCAGTCAGTGTGTAGCTGTTGGATGAGTCACCGTCAATATCCACATCACTGCCTGTGTTGTAGGAGATCCTGTAGCCAGTGGTATCTCCCAGTGGAGAGGGAGGAGTCCAGGTCACTGTGATACTAGTGGGACCATCCTGGACTGCTGTCACACCAGTAGGAGGTGGGGGACCTAAAGAGATAATGACAGGCTCGTGAAAGGGACCAATAATGCAAAAGCAGTTTTTAGGCTAAATGGATAGCTGAGAAGAGAATAAGAGAGTGGTTGTGAGGAGCATGCAGACAGGATGCATGTGCTGCTACTTGAACTTGTGCAATAAGGGTCGTTTTTCTCAGAGCCTATCACATTAATGCATGAATAACTGGTTCTTGAATTGACTGGCCATGGGTTGGCTTGCTTCCTACAACTTTCTTTTCATGGGAATGATTCATGCACAATCAGCGCTTGTTTGCTAAAAAGAGCACAGTATGGAATGGACTTCATTCAACCTCTCACCTTCAGTCTCTACAGGGAGGGCTGTGACAGGTCCAGTACCAGCACCATTGACTGCAGCAACTGACACAGTATACTGTGTGGATGGAGTCAGTCCAGAGATTGTGGCTTGTCTAGCATCTACGTTAACACTAGATGTTCCTTTTACCACCCCATCTGAGTTTGCTGCAGTAACTGTGTAGCCAGTGATCTCTCCATTTCTCTCTAGACAGGCCACCTCTCCCCACTGCAGAGTGACACTGTTAGCAGTGAGTGTACCCACTGTGATTGAGGCAGGAGAACCACTGGGAGCTGTAGTAGACTAACCACAGTTAACACGACGCAGGAACTAGGCATTGTACTGTCCCTTACCAGCTTCAATGGTCTTTGCAGTAACAGAGTTACTGACTGGACCTCTACCAGCATCATTATAGAGTTTCACAGTGATGGTGTACCTATTCCCCTCCTCTAGTCCAGTTATTGTATAGCTAGTGAAGCTGCCAGTCGCATTAATGCTTCCCTCATCCTCATTAGTACAGCCACCTGAGGTGTCTCTCTGCCACTGGACCAAGAAGCCTGTCACCACCGAGTCCCTGGGGACACTACCAGTGATTGTGACAGTAGTGGCACTGACCGTTGGAGTTGAGTCAATGAATGGAGCTGATGGAACTGTGATGGGAGCAAAATGTGTGAGTACACACACTGAGCAAATAGGTTGTTTGTGGGGTGCTCATTGTAAACTGAAACACCTACCTGTGCAAGCTATATGACATACCTAAACTAACCGTGACCACCAACGGTGCACTAGGTAAACCAGATGATGTGGTAACAATAGATATAGTGTATGTCTTTCCATTGGTAAGACCAGTCAGAGTGTAGCTGTTGGTAGAGCCACCATCAATATCCACATCACTGCCTGTGGTGTAGGAGATCCTGTAGCCAGTGGTATTTCCCAGTGGAGAGGGAGGAGTCCAGGTCACTGTGATACTAGTGGGACCAC